CAGGTTTAAACCTGCTTTGTGAAACAATGCTGATGAGGACGACGACTTTTTCACATCACTGTAAGTGTTCAGAAAGGGGGTACCTGGCTGTGAGAGCTGGTGCTGTTGAACCTGAGCACATCGCAGCTCCTCGTTGATTTCCTTCAGAGAATCTCGCTCAATAATGATCCGCTAATGGGGTAAAGATTAACATTAAGAAAAAGGTTTTAAACAAAGCAAATATGTTATTTATATTGATGGTTAAAGTTTTATAAGCTGTTGAACCTCCTTTTCTTTTAACACAGTTTCATGCTTTTCTTCCAGCTTTTTCATCTCAAACGCCATGTTGTCTGCTCGCCTGGTTTCCTCAGAAAGCTTACTGTGGAGGTCCTGAACCTTTAAAAACAAACAAAAACCAAAACAGCTTTAGGCTAAATATATCTTCTAATGCAAATGAAATGATGTATATAATTAATTCAACTTTAAAAGTCCTGCTTTAAACCTAGAAGTAGGCGTTTGCTCCTTACCTGTCTTTTGTATGACTCCAGCTGTGCGCGGGCAGCATTTGCTTTGCGTAGCTCCTCCTCCAGAGTGACGCTGTTCTGCATGTAGGTCATGTTATTCTCCTCCAAAAGCTTCATCTGCCTCTTCAGATCGCCAAGATTCTCCAGCTTCCGCTTGTATGTTTCCACCGATGCTTCCAGCATCACCACTCTGTCTGAGCAGTTCCTGAATAAAATAAACAAATTTCCCTGTCAATAAGCTCTTATAGGAGCAATAAATAATAAACTATGAACAAAACTAAACAGATTGCACGCCTTTGACTCCTACTCCCCTTTCGGAGAATGTTGTCCACGTTGGCAAGTCAAGATAGACGAGGACGTAATGCAGGTGAATTCAAGATGAATTTAAGATCATTCGATGTTACTTTACAAGCAAATAGATTTCTCATATGTTGGTGCATGTCCTGTTTGTTGAAGCATAACAGCTTTTTTAAAGACCAGGGAACAAAGTAGACGATCAGGGAGAAATTTGCATTGATATTAATAAAACCCAAGCTTTAAACATCTAAGAGAGCGCTGTTCAATCTGTCATCTGAAAATGGGAACCAATAACCTGCCAGGTCAAGATTTTTTTCAACTAAACTGACTTATAGAGAAAGCTCATATGGGAGAATCTGTTGAGAGGACATCTACCAGCTGAGGGATCCACAAACCTGACTTAGGCATAGGCTGCAGCAGATGGAAGCCACTGGGTTCAATAAGAGGAGTAAGAATGTGTGATGCTGTTAGGTGTTTGCAACAATCAATGCAGGGAACGCTGTAGGCATGGGGATGGAGACGTACATCAAACCTTTTTGGATACATCCCAACCAGTGGTGGGAAAGTAACAAGGTAAGTTTTCTTGATTACTGCCCTTAAGTACTTGTTTTAAGGATCTTTACTGTACTTGAGTAATTTTTATGGTGAGTACATATGACTTTTTCTACTCCACTCCATTTCTAGGAAGTTGCTAGTTCCTTGTTCCTTTTGGCTCAGCTTAGTTTTGTAATCTACTGTTGATGTTTTTCTTTTTTGAAATACAACTTCCTCATGTCAGATAGCAGCCCTTAGGACTGAACTTGGATGCCACT